TGGTAAAAAATCGTTTGCCGGATCGAAATTCACTACCGAAACTTTTCTATGGATGTTGAACGATCAAAACAATAAATTAATTATGCTATTTTAAAATAACCTTCACACAAATCGCACAGAAGAACTCGTTAGCCAAGTTAACGAAATGTTCTAGCTTGCTTACCTCCCTGTGGCGCCAAGGAATTGTTGCATGCCATTACAATAAGTAGTTTTTCCCGATCCGGGAGGCCCAATAACAACCTTAATGTGCCAACAATTTGTAAAATGTTAAACCATGAAAAATATTGACAAGCGAAACAATGTTCGTTACCTGCCCGAAAGGCATAATGAATCTTATTAAACTCGCCAGATGCGTTTATGAACAAATTTCCAGTTCAATCGGAAGCGATAAGCAATTGTGGAACCACGTGTCGATCAAAATTAGAGATTACATTAATTTTATTTGATATATATATTAAATTACATTTTGACTAATTACATTTTAACTACATACATATTCACAAATTATATATATTTAAATACATTATTACTAGATTTTTATTCTTACGAGATCGCTTCAATTTTTGAAAAGTTCGGGTGTAAGATAGTATAATATTTACGTTTGCAAGCAATTGGAGATCTTTCAGGTAAATAATCAGATATCATTTTCCATTCATCCCTATAAAGTATTACAAGATTAATCAATTTATTCTCTTCATCTTTCGTCCATGGTGGCGTGCATGATTCATTTTCGTACATGTCGAGTTCTTTGGGTAAAAGTTCTTGTTTATGTGTATTAACATATGATCTAATCGATTCTTGTGATTTTCCGGGAATAAATCTTGCGATCCGATCATAATCTGTACCATATTTTTCTAACAAGTCTTTTAATGATTGTTTTTCTTTTTCGGTCCATGCTTTATCATCTGATATTGTCATGTGGTTCATATTCAAATTTGGAAAGTTGTCTTTATATAAATTATAATATTCTTCACAATCCTCTGATGTTTTCCCTGGTAACTGTGACGCAATTTTATTCCAATCCTTACCGTGTATTTCTGTAAAATTCTTTAACTTTAATATATCTTCTTCAGACCAAGGTTGAGCTGTAGTCCTCCTAGTGGCGTCAATGAAATGTCTATCAAAACCAGGGTTTGAAAAGAACATCGGATTTTCATTTACCAATTGTTGTATTTCTCCGGGGCTTTTGTTTGATACATTTTGTGATATCAATTCCCAGTCTGGTCCATATTTCTGAAAAAAGTCTTGAACTTGTATAATGTTACTAGAATGCCAATCTTTTCCGACTTTCATTAACAACCTGGTTATCACTTGGTATTTGTAAAAGCATGCTGATGGTGATCTACCAGGGAGCCCCTCAGAAATCTTGCACCAATCTGTTTCATACTGTGATCTTAACTCTAAGAGTTTTCTTAATTCATCTGCACTCCATCGCTTTTGTACGCTAAGATTCTGTACAATTTCATATAATTCTGTGTCATTTTTATGATATTCAATGTTATAAAGTTGAGGATTTGTTTTCACATGATGCTCGATCGAATTGACACGTTTATGTGGAAGATATGCTTTAATCTTTTTCCAATCATGTCCGTACTTCTGTATCAAATCTCTTAAAAGTGATATCTCATGGTTTCTCCAACCCCAAATATTAGTTGCAGAACGCATATAGTAATTAAATGGTGTTGTTCCGGGTAAAAGAATCGGGATTATTTGCCATCTGCCATATTTTGATATTAAGTAGTCCAAAACCCGAATTGCTTCTTGCGGCCAGCTATGTAATACTAGTTCTTTTTTAATTTTATTCGGTTGCCAACATGCATAAAATTTATCTTGACATGCAAATGCTGTTCTCCCATAAAGTTTACTTGATATAAGGAACCAATCGTTACCGTATTGCTCAACAAGATCATTTAACGTACGTGTTTCACGTTCAGTCCACAGGCTTGAAGATTTGAACCATCTTAAAATATTCGCATTACGAAGTGCAGGTAGATCTGGAGAATGACGCGGCAAAAATCGAGACACGGCTTCTGAAGTTCTACCAAGTATTCTTCGAGAAATTGCATCGTAATTACGACCATATTTCATAATTAGATTATTTAATAATTTCATTTCACTATCAGTCCAACATCTGTGTTTCCTCAATCTTTCTGGGAATTTGAAAATAGAAGAAAATTTATTTGGATTCTTACGTACGAATGATTCTATGGAGTTTAAACTCTTTGTTGGAAAATGTTTTGAAATTTTTGACCATCTACAACCGTATTTCCCAATCAAATTGTTCAAAAGTTCACATTCTTCTTCAGTCAAAATCGGCTTAGATTTAAGTTTTGTTCGGGTACTTTTTGTACGAACGCTTTTTGCTTTAACACGAGACGAGATATAGTCAGGTGAAGACATGATTAAATATTGAGATTCACATTCGCATGGCATCCTATCGGGTATATGTTCAGCTACTTTCTTCCAATCTTGACCATATTTAGAAACAAGATTCTCCAAGACTTTTAATTCTAAACGTGTCCAATGACGTGATTTACGCGTGGAATGTCGATCGCTTGAACTCAGCTTATCGTTTGCCGTATTATTAGTTGTAACGTTACTATGGCTATTGGGTGAAACCATTTCACTTAAACGGCGACAGGCGAAACTTAAAGCCAACGAAAAATCGAAACCTCGTGGTGAAGGGACGAAGCCCTGGCGAAAAGAGTGTCCCCCAGAGAAAGGAAAAGCCCCTAGTGAAAGAAAACCTCCAGAAAAAGAAAGACGAAACCCTGATAAAGGCTGTGCTATATTGGTAAAAGGCATTTTTTTTGCAATGTGTTTAGGGGCAGGCCGAAAAAATTAATAGTACCCGACGTGATGCGATTTTTACATTTGTCACACCGGATCAAATTTAGATTCGCATCATCTGAATTTTCAGCATCTCTACCGATCAACTTATCTCTTATAATTCGTGTTCATTGATGTTCATCTTTTCACCGAGGAGTTTCTTCTTACGCAGAGGTTTCGTTGGGAGTTTCAACTTCCACAAGGAGTTTCGTCTTTCGCAAGAGTTTCGCCATTTTCGTCTTTCAGGTTAGATTTCGTCTTTGTCCTTCGTCATAAAATAGTTTCGTCTAACAACTATAGCTTTCATCCAGGCGAAAGTTCCCGCTTCACCCACACTGCTGGCCGTCTTATGATAGCCTTTACATGTAAAGTTTGTTCACATCGTTCAACAAAGACCATGTCAAAACAAGCATATAATCATGGTGTGGTTATAATCCAATGTTCTTCATGCAAGAACAATCATTTAATAGCAGATCATTTAGGATGGTTTCGTGATAAAAGAACTACTATTGAAGATTTGATAGCAGAACAAGGCGAAAAGTAGGATTGCGACCCAAACTTTTCGTTTTGAATAATGACATTATTACGTTTGGATTTTTACTTCATTTGGGATAATAGCCAAAATCCAAATCTTTCAAATTTAAGTATCTAAAATAAATTTAATACTTTTTATAAGTAAAAATATATAATAATAATAATTTTGTTTTTGGCAGTCTTGTTTTTATTAGAATTATTAGCTTATTATTTAATTTTATTATTTTCAATCCAGGAAATAAAATTATTAAATATCAAATTGTGTTAAAGGAGATGCAATAAAAATTGTTAAAAAAAACAGATTTTATTAGCAAAAACAATGCTTAATATTATAAAATAAAAATTAATAAAATTAGTAAAATTAATAAAATTAATAAATTATAACAAATTTATTCTTAATTTTTAATAAATTAGTATCTTTTACAATCAACATAAATGCAGCCACTGCTTTATTAAAAGAAACATCCATAGTATTTAGTAAAGAAAATGATATAAGTAGGCAGGTGATAAAGCCTATTTATTTGAATGACAGCCAGACCCAATGTACAGAGCAGGCTACAAGTACTTTGAAAATCATAAGAACCAGATATATAGCAAGCAATCAAATAAAAAATACTAATCAGATAGACTTATCTTCAACATCATTAGAATCTTATAACCTGTCTATCTATTATAACAAATTTTTATAATTTTACAAAATCTTTTTTATTTTTGTACCTATCTTTATCACATCTTTTATACTTTATTTATACTCATTTTGGTCTAAAAACCAAAATCTTAAAGGTAGTATTATTTATCACTTGATTTTTTTTTATCAGAAGCTTACTCTTCTTCTCCTTTTTTAATATATATTTTAATTAGGTTCTTATATATAATTTTAAAATTTTTACTTCTTCCTTCTAAAAAATCACCTAATTTTTGTCCTGTTTCTAATCTTACCTTCTCAATTTACAAACAACTTCACAAAGCACATATTTATCTTCTTTATGATTTGTTTATACTTCTCAACTATATTTTATTTACTCTACATACTTTTAAACAATTTTTACATATATCTCTTAAATCTAGCTTTCTATTTACCTTTTCCTTATCTTTTAACAATTTTTTTTTTTTTTTTTTTAGTATTAAGGTGAGGCCTTGCTTATATCTTTATTAAGTAATTTTGAAAATAGTAACTACATAATAATAATACTATATAGAAATACTACTACTTATACAAATATAAGTAAAACTAAAATTACATGCAAGAATAAAAGCTCAGACATATTTATCTGTGACCTAAACCTACTAGAGTGGCCAAAGACTCACCTAGATTATAATAGTTGGAATGTAGTTTAAAGAAGTACTATAGTTTATCCAATATTTCGACCAGATGCTAATTTTCTTATTAGCCTGACCAGCTGGTGAACAAGTGCCTGAATCAGAATGCATGTGATCTTGTAATCCACATGGGCAAAGGTATGTATAATTTCTACGAGTAAGATTGTGATTGTTACGGTTTGATGATGTGTTAGTGTGTAAAGTATAGGGATAAGTTAATTCATAGTGTTTTCTCCAGTTAGAAAAATTGATACAGTATGGTTTCCAAATTTGATCATATATTTGTTCATTGATTTTAAATAGCAGTTCAATGATAATATTTGAGGCTGATTTGTAAGGAATATTGAAGTCTTGTAATGTTTGAAAAATTGAATTCGAGATTAGGCCTTTAAGTGTAAGTTCTAGATAGTGAGAAGAGGGTTGTAATACTATGGGACTGAATGCTTCATGATTTTGAATTTTATTAATAAGCTCATTTATTTGAGAGGAGGAGAGGTCTAGTTTAAGTGATGTAATGTAATTGTTAGTAGTAGTAGAGATAATATTATTAAGTAAAGTAAGACTAGTGCAGGTGCGCCAGTGTGATGGTGAGTCTGATATTCCACAATGAAAACAATTAGCATTATTAAAAATTGAAGGGTAAAGTTTGTGATGAAGAAAATAGGTGGGTAGTTCATTAAGTAGTGTTTTAATTTTGAAAGATTTGAGTTGGTTGAGTTTGAAATTAGTAATGTTGTGGGTAGGTTTCTGATTATGATTAAAGAATAGCCAGGTTGATCTCCAGTCTATTGTGTCACTATTTGCGACCACTCTTCATTTTGTTGTTGTGATGACCACATAGCAAGAATGTGTGCTTTACCGATAGTTTTGATAAAGTGCTGAGTTGGAAGCTCAACAGCGAACTTTTCATCATCATATTGTAAAATATGATATGGGTTGTAGATATTGGTATAATGAAAGCTGAGTTTAGATACTGTTGTATGTTGTTTGGCTAGTGAGTCTGATAGATTATTAAGAGTATTATCTGTGTGAGCCTGAACTTTATGAAAAGTTATTTTAA